GGTGTTGTATGTTTGTAGGTTCGCCCGATTTAGAGCCCAATGAGTGAAGTTGGAATCGAGCTTGGGAATCGGGTAGAGTTCATATGGAGGGGATGTGGATCTTGTTGGCTCTCAACCAACTATGTGGTTTTATTTGTATAATGTGCTATTAAAGACATTTGAAACGGTACTAGGTATTTACTATTGATCGCTTCCTCCGATCGGTGGAAATTATTAAGAACAATATGTGTAATAGTAAGATACATATTACCGTTCCTTTTGAATATGTAATCGATAGTCCATAACCTTTTGTAAATAAAAGCGAATTTTATCAAACTTATATATATATATATATATATATATATATATATATATATATATATATATATATATATATATATATATATATATATATATATATATATATATATATATATATATATATATATATATATATATATATATATATATATATATATATACCCCCAAGTTTGGGAATACGTTTTCTATAGGTGTTATAGAAAATCATGAAATTTTGTGAGTCTCTGAATCTATCTGAATCTATCTGTTGTTGTCATTTGCATAGATCTTTTACATGAATTGGATAAGTGATGAATTTGCTTACAACCTTCTATTACAATGGAAATTTTATTCAACCAAATAATTTTATTGCACTTGGAAAAGTTTTCTATTTCACCTTTCTGTTTCGAAACAATAAATACAGTATTTGAACCAGCGCAGTTAGAAATTTACAAGATAATTTCAATTTTTCCTCTTCTGTTGTGGAATTTTATCTAAGCTTTTGTACTATTTTAATTATTTCTACCAAATGCCTAGGGATTTTTCAAAATTGTTTTAATGGGATAATGTAGACTCATATAAGAATATGTGGTAATATTTTCAAGCACTTTGTACGAAGAGTTTAAGAGAAATTAATTTTTGAAATGAACTTATCGAATTTGTCCAGATTTCCTTAAGAGTCATTTTAAATGGTGTTATTATAGTCTTGCATGAGTATGTTCATAAATTAACTAGTACGTTAATGTATGATCAGGTGTACATTGTTTATAAATTAACTAGTAGGTTAATGTATGACAAGCCGTGCACTATTTTCCTCTTATTTTAAAATAAAAAAATGACGTAAATTTTTATCCACAGTAATTATTTTCTAAAGTTTTCAGTTGAGATTACTTAAAATAAGAGTAATCGTGAGAGGGGTGTCACTGACGCAGCCACCCTTTGGCGAGGGTGGGCTCCAGCCCACTCTGAATTTTTAAGTATTTATACTACATATTATAGTTATGTGTAATAAGTCCACCAAGTAATTTAATTTAGTCCACCCAAGTAATCTAGTTTAGTCCACCCATCAAAAATTTTGTGTTATTAGTTAAAGTTTATAAATTTATAGTTATTTTATGCTATTTTATGCGAATGAATAAAAAAATATCTCGAGGGCGCTATCCCTGAACCCCGTAAATGTTAAGTCCATCCTATCTGGAATTCCTGGCTCCGCTTGTCACCTCTTTTCCATTTTTGCAATGTTTCGTGTAAAACGATCTAGTTTCAGTCTATGTTTGTACTACTACTCCTTTTATCATTCCATGTTACTTGTAATAATAATAGTAGATGTCTTTTCTGTGGGAAAAAAAAAGGAAAAAAAGTTCCCTGCACCACAACTTGCCTAAAAAATCTCTCTTTGGCGGCCACTAGGGAAACATTGTTTATGAAGGTCAAAGACGGCGGGGTATAGCGGAGAGTATACATGATATAAGCCTATAAGGCAAGTCTTGCATGGAAATAATTCAACTAACTAAATAGTTGATGTATTTATTTGGGAAAATTTATCAGATATTCTTTATTCTGGACTTATATAGGTGCTAATCCTAATTGTTAGATGAGTATAGATACAATCATGTAGATCTTTTAATCAAAAAAAATAATATAAATTAAATTAAATTATTTGTGTATAGACAAAAAACACCTGCAATTAATATATAATTTTATGTAGAAGTGATTAACAAATACCACTTATCACTCTTTCTCTTATTTAAACTAACATGCATCTCTCTCCCTTTCTTCACTCTCCCTTCATTTCCCTCTCAATATTCTTACGCCTACCCCCTCCTTATCTCTCATCCATCTCCCTTGGAATGGAGGGAGTATATAATTAAGTAATTTAGGGTTGACTCGTTTGATGGCTTGACAAGTTCAATTTAATTAATTATGGTTATCTTATTTATGATATTATAATATTATTTCATGTTGCCATTTATGATCATAAAATGGCGGCTCATATATATATATATAACTAGTAACTGTACCCGTGCGATGCACGGGACAACAAATTGCATTGTTTTGATGTTGTAAGAATATAAACAAACGTTTGATGTATCGTATGATCAAAATTATGTTATAATCATTCATTAATAATTCATCAATGGAACATTACTAAGTATACTAAAAAAAAACAAATGACTTTATTGTTGAATAATTTTCCAAATGAATTGAATCAGCTAATACCAGTAGATTGAAAAATTGAACCAGAAACAAAATCATCAACTATGTCTTTCATGTTGAGCTTAAAATTAATTAGATTTAACAACTTAGTTAACATAATAAAAACTACACTATCGACAACATACCAACGTAAAAGGTCATCTATACATCTTGCATCTTAACTAAGCCATTCTCCACTGCCTCGTTTTGCCACTGGAATTAACAATTGGAAAATTAAGAAACAAAAATAATATAAAAAATAAATTAAATATCGCATACAAACAATAGGTCTTGAAGGCCGACTTCAAATAGCTTGTGGCTCCGCCCATTTTCGCTTAGTTCTCTCAACTCATCATTTCAATAACATGTCCAATAACATTTAAAAGGAAATTATTGTTATACACAAAATTTGAAATCTTTGATATAAATTAATGAAACGCATAATTTAAAAAAATGAAATTACCTATAAGCCATGATGGAAAAAGATGCAAACTAATGACCACACAGTTAATAGGGTGAAGAAGAAAATAAGACAAAAATTCTAAAGTTGGGTTACCAAAAGAAGAAACCTTAGGTAGAATGAAGAAATAAAATTAAAATGTTGCAGACATTCTGTAAAACAGTGCCAAAAATCCGCTAGGGATGAAAATCAGATTTATTTACCCTTTTTGTAAATATCGAAAATCAGATTTATTATGAACTACGAAGAGAAAACAAATTGCAAAATAGCTAACCTTTTATGAAGCCACAAACATTTCGTAGAAATGGGGAGAGATAAAACTGGGGTGGAGAAGTTGAGAGGTGGGATATAAATAAGAAGATAAAACACAAAAAACACAAACGTGTTGAAGTAGAAGATAGAAGTTGAAAGTGTTGAAAGTCTTAAGGAAAATCTTCGGGAATCGTCCATCTTTGGGAATATGATAATTACTATTTTATCATCAAAAAATGATATTTAAATGTTGAGATGTTTATGGCTGAAAATTAGAAGATAAATGAATATTTAGGAGATTTAATTGGTTGTGCATTAGAGATATTTACGGCTAAAAAGATGAGTGACTGGGGTGGTTCGGGGGATAAAAAAACTGATAAAAATCGAAAATAATATTTAGGAGATAAAATTTGATGAAAATCAAAAATAATATTTAGGAGATAAAAAATTGATAAAAAAATCAAAAAATAATATTTGGGAGATTAAAATCTGATAGAAATCGAAAATAATATTTAAAATAATATTTAGGAGATAAAAGTTTGATAAAAAACGAAAATAAAATTTAAAATAATGTTAATGAGATAAAATTTGATAATATACGAAATTAATAATTAAAATACTATTTAGGAGATAAAAATTTGATAATTATCAAAAATATTATTTAAAATAATATTTAGGAGATAAAAATTAGATAAAAATCGAAAATAATATGTAAAATAATATTTAAGAGATAAAAATCGAAAATAATATTTAGGAGACAAAAATATGATAAAATCGACAATAATATTTATGAGATAAAAATCTTATAAAAATCTAATAAAACTCGAAAAAAATATTTAAAATAATATTTAGGAGATATAAATTTGATAAAATTCGAAAATAATATTTAAGAGATAAAAATTTGATAAAAAATGAAAATAATATTTCAAATAATATTGATGAAATAATAATCTGATAAAAATGGAAAATAATATTTAGGAGATAAAAATCTGCTAAAAATCGAAAATAATATTTAAAATTATATTTAGGAGATATAAATTTGATAAAATTCGAAAATATTATTTAAAATAATATTTGAGAGATAAAAATCTAAAATAATATTTAGGAGATAAAAATCTAAAATAATATTTAAAATAGTCTTTAGGAGATATTAATCTGATAAAATTCGAAAATAATATTTAGGAGATAAAAATCGAATTTTTTTTTACAAATATGACATTAGGGTTTCTTAGGGTTGCGCTAGCGTTTCTTTCTTTTATATATAAGATTATATATTAACTATAGGATTGACCCAGCTAACCTAAATTGAACAATCAAATAACTGAAAAAGTAAAGACAAAGACCAAAGGAATCTAATTAACGTATCATTAAAAATATGAAATTCTCAGCCGCCTGTCGTCAGAAATAATAATAATTTATCCGATTGCCATAATGTTTTATGAAACAAAATTCACTTTGGTCCTATTGAACCTGACTCGTGTTATTTTCAATCCCATAACTTTAAAATTATGAGATGGCATAAAATATTATATGGGAGTTGAAGTGGTCAGTTCTTAAAAGTACAGCTAAACAATTTGGGGCTAAACCGATATAAACAATATCTTAAGGACGAAACTGCAGTTTTCCCTACACAAATAGTTAGTTTATGTCTTCTATATAAACACATGATTGATTACTTTGGCATACACACACATCCGTTCAAATACATATATCATTTCTCTAGGAGAGAGAAAAGAAGCAATATATCTGCAAATTAAATATATCTTCTTCCATTTCAAGGAGAGAGAGAGAGAGAGAGATGACGGTAGGAACAATGGAAGTGACACTTTTTGGGGGTAAAGGCCTCTTGAGCACACACTTATTCGGTACGTACTCATGGCCTTCTCATATGTATGTATGTATGTATGTATGTATGTATGTATGTATGTATGTATGTGTTACGTTCCATGGTGTGTGTATATAATAATGAATGAGTGTTTGGAGGTGTTTTAGTGATGAAGAAGTAGAAGAATAAATTGGATAAACTCGCACGCGTGCATTCCACTTGTAGAACCATAACATTTTGTTATTCGTAATCTCGTTAAAATTTCCACCATTAGTATTAAGTTTGATTCCTCTTTCGTTAACTTAATTACCGCCTAATGTTCTCTTATTTACAATTACGAATAGCATGTAAAATGAAAATTGAATACTTGTAGTGATCTGAATGAATATATTTAAATCTGACACCCAGGGAAAAGTTGTTTAATCATAAAAAATTTGTATCGTAATTCATAAATTGAAAACACAATTGGTTTAATTTATTGGTCAGGTCAAAGTTGTAATAATGTATTTGTTGGTGCATGCAGGTAGGATAGATCCATATGTTGTGATTCAGTACGGAAATGAAGAGCACACCAGCAAAATAGCTCATGGTAAAATTAATTAGCCTAATTTTCTTCTTTTGTTTTTTTATCTAACCCTTCTTTTTCTTTTGTGTTTCATATTTTTATATATTCAATGTTAAATATTTCAAATTCATTATATAATTGTTTCAATAAACTAATTGGTATTATATATAAATAGGACAAGGTAGCAAGCCAGAGTGGAATGAACGGTTCAAATTCAAGGTACATTACCCAACAGACGCAGGAGACGATAACCAAAGAAAATATAAGCTCCTTCTTCAAATTATGGACCACGACAAATTCACTAGAGATGACTACCTTGGCCAAACCACGTAAATTCTAGTCCTCGATTTATTTATTTTTTGTTCAATTATATATAAATTATTTAGTTAAGAAATGAATATATAAATTAAATGCAGGATCTATGTGAAGGAGCTACTTGAGTTAGGTGTGGAGAATGGAAAGCTGAACTTGGTACTCAAAACACAGGGTTGTTTTAAAAGATGGTACTTACTATGGTGAAATTCAAGTTGGAATCAGTTTTAGTACTGCCACAGGTTTGTATTTAATAAAACTTAATATATTAAATCAAGATTTAAGAAAATTAATTACCAAATTTTAGAAAACTTATTTATTTTATTTTTTGGGTGCAGGGGGTAATGATGAAGAAGATTAATACAAGGTGGAGGAAAGCTAGTACTAGTTGCTATACTTTTGAATTTGCATCTTACAATTAGTTCACCAAAATTCATTTATTGTTTATTTAATTTGTTTTCTGAAATAATTAATGTAATTAGTATCAAATTCATTGTCAAATACATATTCCGACCACATAAATAAGTAGTTCGAGTTAACTATATATTAACTATATTATTCCTATTATAAAATTATTTAGTTATTTAATCAACGCATCTCCAACAATTTTATTTACCAAAAATCAAACTATTTGTTAAAACAAGTAAAACAAATAGCAAAATATAAAATTAATTAAAAAGTAACGAAAAACAACTAAAAAGTCATCTTCTCCAGGGAACTAACATATAGAATCTAAAGAATGAAGAAAAAAGAGAGAAGAACTTCAATATTTGAAGCAGATGCTAAATCTTCACTATAAAATCAATGAGATTATTATTAATCAACGGATCTTGATTGATAATAATCATGCACATCGTCACTCAAATCATGAAAAAAAAATTAGAGAAAAAATTTATGCCCGAGAATTTTTATCATCGAGTCCATACGGAGGAGCGGCGGTGGGAGGAGATGGCGACGGCGGCGGTAGAGAGACGGCATCAGGCAGAGGTGGAAGGGGAGCAGATGGCGGCGGCTTGTGGTAAAGAAAGAGAGACAATAAAAAAAGAGCAAAAAAATAGAACCTGATTGATGAGAGAGAGAATGGGTGGTTGAATTAGAAAATAGTTACGAATACGATTATAAGTAGGGGTAATATAAATATATTATTTATAATTATGTAAAATATTTATTTAATTAAACAATTAGGGGTTTTTCATTATTATCATACATGGGAATGGATCCTCCATCGTATATTGAGGGGTTTCACTAATTATCCATTTATATATAGAAATGTACAATAATTGAGAAATGGTGGAGACAGAATGCATATATTGACTTGTTCTAAAAATTTTCAGTTAGCAAGAACTTAGCTGGTATATACGTACCACGCAATCATCTTCCACCAACAATCGTGCATGGACCCATATAATTATGAAAGTGATGGTAAAAAAAATTATATAATATATAAGGGTTTTTGTGCATAAGTCCCTAATATAGTATCTCAATTCGAGCACACTATTGCTTCGTCCGACGTGCAAGGAAGTAATTTCGAGAGGTGATGACTACTGTTGGTTAAAATACCTACACGCAAGTGCATGTATCGTACAAGTAATATAGTGGGACTAAAAGTCCGGATATCGAACCCACAGGAAATATTTAATTATCTAATCTTAGACGCTAAATTCTACCAATTATTATCAAGCCCACCCTACACAGTCGAATTTTAGAGAGAATTAACTAAATTAAACTAAATTAAAAGCAAGCAAAAACAAGAAAGCAATTTAAAACGAAGATTCAATCAAGATAAGCAAGCCTAGGATTTTATTCTTCCCCCTATGTGATTATTACTCCCTCAATTCCTTCAATTATGCAAGCAATTAACCCGGTTATTAACCTGAGATGCTAAAATAATCATAACCCGCTTCCGCGTGTATTACGATTCTAATACTCTAGATTCAATTACTATATTCCTATGCAATTAATTCTAGAACACAGCATTAAGCACAAATCTCAATAATGGCTACCTAAGAGATTAACTATATTCCTATGTTAATACCACAAAAGCTCTTCTACCACAGTTCTAATTATTAACCCGATCTTCCGATTCATGCGATTAACAATAACATAAAAGTGCATAAAGTGGCCAGTTTCATGAACTTAATAAAACAAGTAGAAGAAATAATTCGGAATTAATACTTGCATAAAATCATAGAATTGGATTCATAAATCCCACATAGGGTTCCAAATAAAATCCTAGAAATAAGAAAATTAGCTACTCATGATTAAAGGAAAAACACAAATATAATAATTCATAAACGATAAATCTATGCTTAGAGTCTTCGAATTCTTCGTTATTGCTTTGTTGCTCTCCAAATTTGCGTAAAAAAAGATCCGCAATTGTGTGCTTGGTTTGGTCTTATATAGGGTGAAGAACTTGGGGAAGAAGGCAGTTTCCTTGTGCAATTAAAATCCCTTTACTGCGCAGCTTCGGAGTCTCGGACGGGGGTCCCACAATTTGAACTAAAACTCGTACGGGGTCCGAGCTTTAAATCTTCAGAATTTTGATTTTTTCACTTTTGGCCCATATTTTCTCCAAAATTGCAGTTTTGACCCCATACTTTTCCAATTCTTCAATTTGTACCTAAAATACAATAAATCAACTTTTTACGCACCAATTATCGTTAAAACACACCAAAAGCTCAATAAAAAGGTACGATAAAGTGTGAAAATATACACCTAACACACCCCCAAACTTGAACTTTTGTTTGTCCTCAAGCAAAATCTACCAATAAGCAAATAACTCAACTATTGCATCTCATCACATAGATCAATGATCAACTTCCCGTTTTCAGAACTTGTAATTATAATGACAATTCTTAGGCATTCGCAAGCTCAAAATTCAACAACACTCAGTCACTCACCATTACCAAAAACCACAATTCATACAATTGCTTCAAGCATCCAATATTTACAAATTAAAGATAGAAAGAATTTATACTTACATGCATATGCTTGACTCCAAATACTCACCAAATTATTCTACTCTACTTATATCGAACATTAAGCTATTGGGATCATTGGGGCTTTGTGGCTTTCAATTGTTAGGCTCTTTGGTTCGAGGTAGGAAATATGGGTATATGTGGCTATTCTTCTTGAATTTAGGTGATTACGCCAAAATTTGAAAGATAGGCACTTGAAACAATGAATTCACCTCTACGGACTTTAATAAACTCGATTCTCAAAAGTTCAAAAGTCTCCACTTTTGCTTTTTAGGCAATGGATCGAGTTTTCAAAGATAATTCAACAACTAGTCCTTATTTATCCCTTCTAGTCTCTTCTTCTTCTTCTTTTTCTCTCTCTCTTTTTTTTTTTAATATATATATATATATATATATATATATATATATATATATATATATATAGAAGCATAGATATTTGTCTTTTTTTTTTCTTTTCTTTTTTTTTTTCGAAGAAGAAGAAGGACCTTAAAAAATTTCCACCGAACTCCAAGGGGTAATTTTCACGAATCTCCACCTATTCTACCTTACACATTGGCTAAAAGAAAGAACACCTTTTCTCCGAGGCTCAAATCAAGGTTCTAAGGATAATTTCGATAAAAAAAAATCGGCTTGAAAGGCTCAAACGGTTCAAAGAAGGCCCAAATCATATCCCAAATCACTCACTACTCAATACTTCGTATCATAAATTTCCTAAGGTGAGTCTTAAAACCGAACAAAGTATGATCTAGCACAAATTAATTCCAAATTTAAAATACAAAACATTCAACCAAAGCAATGCACAAAATGTGATTCCTAGCAATAATTCGTTTCTAAGTCCCGTTGAATCGAAAGCTAAACAAACATCAAATCCTTATCACACAAAACAAGCAATCTCATCATCAAACATTGATCATCTCTCATCATCATAAATCATCGATGCATTCGACTCAAGCAAATTTTTTTTTTTTTTTATATTCCGGAAAAAAAAACGATAAAAGCAATAAAAACGAATAAAACCTAATGCATGCAAACTAAAACAAATAAGCACAAAAACATGTTTTTCACCCCCAAACTTAAATTTTTCGTTGCCCTCAACGAAATTAGCACAAAGTTTTAAGGATAGAAAACACCTCATTAAGTCGGAGTCGATGTGATCGGGGTCTCCTCCCTAGCTCTCTCAAATAAGTAGATTTTGGAGAATTTGATTCGATTCTCTAACCTCCCTGTCAACACCAACAAAATAAAAAAAATTGTGAATTTTGGAAGAAAAAATCGAAAAAAATTCAAAAATTTGTGTGTGGGAGTTTGTGAGAAGAAAAGAGGAGGGTTTAGGAAATAATGGGGGAGAAAATCTAATTTTATAAAATTTAAAACACCCAATTTTTAACTCGGACGGCCGTTCCGGTTTTTGTGCTCTTTTTCGGATGGCTGTCCGGTTTTTTTTTTTTTTTTTTTTTTTTTTTGCCCTTACTGGTTGTGGGACGGCCGTCCCACTTTTTAGGCTATTTTTCGGACGGCCGTCCCACAGGCAGAGCTGCAAATTGCGGCCTTCTGTTTCCCAGACGGCCGTCTGGGATTTTGCTTGCAATTTCGGATGCCGTCTGGACCCCCTGACCATGTTTTCGACCCTGAAAATTCACTACAAGAAAAACTAGTTTCAGTGACCAAATTCTCAACGACCATAACTAAATGGTCACATTTAGTGACCAAAAGTAATTTTGTAGCAAAAGTGGGAAGGGTTAAATCTTGTTGCGACCAGCGAACATTTGGTAGCTATAAGTGGTCACTAATAGTTAGACATCTTGTAGCAACTAAAGTTGAAGTTTGTAGCGACAATTTTTATGGTCACTATAACTTAGTGTCAATAGTGACCAATTTAACATCAATTTTTTTTACGGTTGCTACGAGTCTTTAATTTAATTATTAACAACCATTTAATTGGTTTGCTAGCAACCACTTGAATTTGGTTACTATGAAACTACTTACGGAAATCAAATCGATTTGGTCACTAGTTTAATTTTTAAACAAATCAAGAAAAGAAAAGAAAATAAAAGGAAGATGGGGGCGAAAATGCAAATAATAAAAAAATTACAGCCATTTATCATTCTGTCGTTTCTTCATCACAAAACATTACTCTGTTCACTCTCTCCTTACGTTTTCTTTCTCTCTACCAATTCTCGCATAATATTACAGAAAATCAAGAAAAAATTATCTCTTAATTTCTTCATTATGTTTGCACCAAAATCCCTCTTATCTTACCTCTTTTGTTTTCCCCAAAAGTATTCGCCTATTTCACCCAATTTCTCCAAGCCCTAGTTCCTACCCCTGTTCGAGAATTTTTGAATTGAATAAAGGAGATTCGGAAGATTTGATTACAGGAAAATAATTGGGGATTTGAAAAGATAATTTCACATTTGGGTTTTAAGGAAAAATAATAGTTTGGAGACCTTCGAGAATGAATCTCGTCGATCAGGACCCACCTTTGGAATAATTGTGAGTTCAGATGTACACCGGTGTTGGTGATTTCCAGCAGAGGTCGCCGATGGTGGCCGTTATCTGGACTTCAGCTTTTGGCTCTTCAAAGAATTAAATGAACGGAGGTGTTAACGGTGGAGTATTGATGATAGAAGGTATTGTTACAAACCTCGAGAAGTTAGCTTCCCATTAATGGTGGTGCTAGGCAGTTTTATTCGGCGGTGGTCGCCGAAATTTGGTGTGAATTTCAGCCTGCTCGCCGGAAAGGGAAATAAAATCTGCTACGCATCTGTTTTCGGAGCCAAAATCGAAGGGTTTGGAGTGTGAATTTGGGAATCATTCCTCCTCGAAAATCGTAGAGGACCTCGAAAACTGTGCGTAAGTGTTTAATTATTTCCAATTCAAGCACGTTTTATAGCCTTTTAGGGGTCGGAATCAGACGACAGCGAATCTGTCAAAAAACAGGGCAGTTTTGCCTAATCATCATACGGAGCTGTTTTTGTTATGTTGGAGTAATAATTTAGGTTATGTGTCTTCTGATGATTTGTATATTGAGTTGTGAGGTTGTATTTGGTATATTATTTGGTCGATTTGGATAACTCTACAAATTGTTATGATTTTTCAAATAAACTGTGACAGCAAACAAGTTTGTCCAAAACAATTCTGGCAGTTTTCTGTATTCAACTTTTCGGGCTTTTATTGTTGTGTTATCTTAGTAATTGGGGGTTGGTATCTTCATCACAATTGTAGATAAAGTTGTGAACTTTTATTTGGTATATTGTTTTCCCAATTTGGATAAGCGTACGGCCTGCTACAATTTTTGGAAGAAAATGTGACAACAAATAACGTTGGTTTCTAGTTTAATGTCCATAGTTAGCATCTATATGTGTCATTAGTTGTTTGAGTCATTAGTTATTTGAAATTTTTCTTATGCACATTGAGCAACAAGTTTAAAGTAATGTGATCGAAGGTGAAGCTTAAGAAACTAATGGATTCTTATTTCAGGTGTGTCATTCGTGGTTGTGTACCTAAGAAAATTTTGGTCTATGATGTTGCTTTTGGTGCTAACTCGAGGTGAGAAGACTTTGTTATTTGAGAAAGACTTTGTTAGTTATTTCTTCAATTTATATAACCAAATTTAACCCGACAGCTATGTTGGCGAAATTCTGAGAAATAGTAAACCTTCTGCCGCACCTGTTTTCGGAGCCAAAATCGAAGGGTTTGGAGTGAGATTTTCGAATCAGTCTCTTCACAAAAGTCGTCGAGGACCATGATAATTATATGTAAGTGTTAAATTGCTTCTAATTCGAGCAAGTTTTATAGCCTTTTAGAGATGAGAATTTGACGGCAGTGAGTCTGCCAAAAACAGGGCAGTTTTGATGAATCATCTTCGTTGGGTTTTATTACCGTCTTAGGATAATAATTTGGGATATATTTCTTAAGTAAACTTTTAGATGAAGTTGTCAGCTTTGATTTGGTATATTGTTTGGCCAATTTGGATAACTTTGCAAATACTTATGAATTTTACAATAAACTGTACCAGAAAAGAGAATTTATCCGAAATTCTGGCAGTTTTCTGTAATCATCTTTTGGGCCTGTTTTGCATATGCTGGGATCATAATTTGTGATCAGAGTCTTCAGTGAACATGTAGATGCAGTTGTTAGCTTTTATTTGGCATATTACGTTCCCAATTTGGATAATCGTACCAATTGTTATGATTTTTCAAAGAAATTGTGGAAACAAATGTTTTAAACCTTTGTTTCGAGAACTCGTCAAACAAACACGAGTCAACTCCGTACCATGTGAATTGATGCCTGGAGTGTGTTGTATTTGGTAAATAGAACGCCATAGAAATTGTGTATTATGTTCGATTGTCAGTTATGGCATAAGATTTAAGTTAGGATGTTTATATGAAATAGAACCGAATAGTAAACGATTATGTTAACATTCGATAACTTGTTTAATTCTAATATTTGATAGGTGTTGAGTATATTTATGCTCTCATTAAAGACTTGAGCATGACTCCGAAGTAAGGTGTTTTTATAGCACTTGCATTGGACTTCAGGTGAGAATCTCTATTTCTTCACTATTATTTATTAAATTTTGAGCGCAGATACATTATTGAATTTTGAGTACTACTAAGTGACAAATGATTGGAATTGATTCTATCATATGATTTCTTATTTTCTAATTGATTTTTTTCCCTTTTTCAGGTTGGACTGTTTGATGAAGTGAAAGAACGTTATCGTGGAAGTCATATTTGTTGTCGCTTAACAATTTATGAAGTGGAATTTATTATGAAATAATTATAGTAATCTTTCTTATTATTTGAAATGATTGATTTATTATTGTATGTAGTATGATAGATTGAAATTATAATATTCACATTTGATTGATAATGTGTAAATTTGCAAGCTTTAGTTTTATTTTAATTTTTTTTTACAGCCACTGTTGCAAATAAACATTAATGATTAATGCAACCAATTAATTATTGGTCTGAATTGGTCAGTAAATTTAATAATTGCCGCAATCGTGTAAAAACTATTGCAACCAATAATATGGTCACTATATGTATATATTTTAGCAACCAGCAGATATATTATTTATGAACCAATATATACCGTCACTATATGTATATTATGTAGCAACCAAAAAATGTGGTGGCCAAATATATATCCTATAGCAACAATAAAATATGGTCACTATACGTATATATCATTTAGCGACCAAAATTATATGGCCACTATATATGTTGCTATAGCAACCATGTTAATATTATTGCCACCATAAAATTTACATTAGCGAGTCAAAAACTGGTCGTTAATAATTATATTTTTAGTGACCATTATTAGTTCGCCACTAAATCTCATCTTTTAGCGTCCAATTAATTTTCTTGTCACTGAGTACTTTTAGTAACTACCCTGTTGTGACCACCGGTGACCAAGCTTAATTTGGTCGCTATAAGTTTTAGCTACCATTTTCTAACTTTTAACGATCATACACAATCGTCACTAAAACCAAAATTTCTTGTAGTGATTAAAATTCAAATAGATTAATTAGAATGCATGCCTATGACAATAAAAACGAAACGAAAAATTAAAGAAAACTTCGAAAAACAAAAAAACAATAAAGCTCGGGTTGCCTCCCGAGAAGCGCTAAGTTTAAAGTCTTCAGCCGAACGTTGCTTCTTTATTTTCAAGCAAAAGTGACCGAAGTCACTTGGCAATCTTCACTCGCTTCCCAATACGGTTTGAGCCGGCTCCGATTCACGTTGAACGTACGATTTGAATCTCGCTCCTTTATTTTGACCACCTCGTGAGGAAGAATTTCTTGGACAATAAACGGCCGCGACCACTTTGATTTGCGCTTCCTTGGAAATAACCAAAGACGGGATTTGCACAATAACACCAATTGTCCTTTGTGCAATTCCTTTTTTATTTTCTCCTTACGACCACAATAGCTTGACTCATCCTTCTCTCGTGACTTGCTCGAATCTTTGGGTGGCAACATCTTCTTGCATTCTCATCGTCGTTAAAACCTCGACTCGTATGACTTTCTCTCGGAGGATTTAAAAGTGAATCCATGAAGTAAACTTGCTCCGTCCAATTCCCGTTTTTGCCATCATCTCCTGCACTCAAAGATACTGGATCGCCGAGTTTTTGTGGAAGAGGCCGAGTGAGAATTGCACTAATTTGCTCCGTGAGTTGGATCATCTCGTTCCCTTGTAATTTCTTACTTTTCTTCACGATGTCCTTGAGGAACTTCACCCACTTTGTCATCTTTTGAAGTGCTTCAATGAAAGGAATATTTATGCGAATTTCCTTCAACTTGTCCAAAAATCTTTGATATTCGGCATCGAGCTTCTTCTTTATAAACTTTTGAGGATAAGGAATTGGAGGGACTTGCGAAGGCACCGTTGATGGTGGCTCTTCATGAGTTGATTATTTTTCCTCATTCACTTTCGGCTTCTCGATTACCGTGTTCCTCTTCTCTTTTCGTGGGGCTTCCTCCAATTGCTTACCGTTTTTCAAGGTGACGGCTTGGCACGTCTCGACCTCGATCTTTTTCGTTAGCAATCTTTGTGGATATGGGATTGGCTCAACCCATTCGGCTACAGTGACTTGCGGCTTGACTTGAATTTCTTCCTTTTTCTCGATTTTGAAATCGATAGCTTGGCACGTCTCGAACTTTTGCTTTCGAGGATCTTCCGTATTTGATGGCAATGCTCCCGCCGGACGTTTCTCTTGGTTCACAACGAATTGAACGAATTGATTCTCCAAATTCCGCAGCGATGCTTGGGTAGCAGTCATGAATTGGGCCAATATCTCCTCCGTGTTTGATTTTTGGGCCGGTGGATTGTTGTCTTGATAGCTTTGTTGAGGAGGGGCTTGATTTTGGAATTGACCTTGAGGTCTTTGATATCCTTGGCCTTGTTGATTTCCTCCATACTGCCCTTGTGATCTCCACCCTTGATTTTGGAATTGGCGAGGCGCGTTATTGACGTAGTTGAGCAATTCCACATCTTGTTGGCATTGGAGCGTGTAGTGATTTCCACCGCAAATTTCACAACATGGAGATTCAACGGCTTGGACTTGTTGTGGTGGATTTGCTTTGATGTGCTGTAGAAGGAGTTGATTTTGTTGAGCAATTTGGGTCACTTGAGCTTGAAGGGCCGTAATTGCATCTAACTCCAACACTCCGGGAACTTTCTTGGCTCCACTAACCGTCCTCTCGCTTGACTTGGCAAACCGATTTTGAGCAATTTGATCCAACATGATGAAAGCATCCGGTATCGATTGACTCATAAAATTTCCCCCGGTTGATGCATCTAAGACCGTTCGTGCATTCTCGTTAATCCCTTGGTAGAAGATGTGGATTTGCCGCCATTGTTCGACTCCATGTGTTGGACACTGCCGCAAAAGAGTTTTAAATCTTTCCCATGCCTCGTATAATTGCTCGCCTTGCTCTTGGACAAAATTATGAATTTCTCGTCGGATTCTCTCGTCCTTCTCGGGTGAGCTATATATAAACTTTCATGAAAAGGTTGAGGAGTTGAGGCCACGACGAGATAGAGTGGGGGGGTTGGGACATCAACCACTGGCGAGCTCTTCCTTGTAGGGAGTGCTTGAAGAGAATTAATTGAAGCGCCTCTTGGGAAACGTCGTTTTGACGGTGGGAATTACAGGTATTTAGAAAATTGACAATGTGAAGATGGGGATCTTCACCTGCCAACCCACTAAATAGCCCGTTATTTTGGAGCATCGTCAAAAGACCTTGCTTGATCTCAAAATTGTGCGCCTCAATGGGTGGATATTGGATGCTCGGGCGGAATCCGTCTAGAGTTGGGATTATGTAATCTTGAAGTGCTCGTGGCCTAACTGCTGGCTGTGTTGGAAGTTGGAGGGGTGGGTCTTGGACTTGGTTTCCGTTGGCCTCGAGTAAATTGCCTGCGGCCCTGCGTTCTTCGTCCTACATTATATTGTTTTCGCGTTGAAGTCTCCTAGCCGCTCGAAAAGTACGTTCGATTTCGGGATCAAACGGTTCTCTAGCTAGATCGAGTCTCCTGCGCATACACAGTACCTAAAAAGAAAAATAAAATAAAACAAAAATTAAATGGGTGAATCGTGAAAATTGTTCAAATCTAGAGCTAGAATAAAATAAATAATTAAAATAGTCCCCGGCAACGGCGCCAAAAACTTGTTGGTTAAAATACCTACACGCAAGTGCACGTATCGTACAAGTAATATAGTGGACTAAAAGTCCGGATATCGAACCCACATGGAATATTTAATTATCTAATCCTAGACTCTAAATTCTACCAATTATTATCAAGCCCACCCTACACAGTCGAATTTTAGAGAGAATTAACTAAATTAAACTAAATTAAAAGCAAGCAAAAACAAGAAAGCAATTTAAAACGAAGATTCAATCAAGATAAGCAAGCCTAGGATTTTATTCTCCCCCCTATGTGATTATTACTCCCCCAATTCCTTCAATTATGCAAGCAATTAACCCGGATTATTAACCTGAGATGCTAAAATAATCATAACCCGCTTCCGCGTGTATTACGATTCTAATACTCTAGATTCAATTACTATATTCCTATGCAATTAATTCTAGAACACAGCATTAAGCACAAATCTCTATAATGGCTACCTAAGAGATTAACTATATTCCTATGTTAATACCACAAAAGCTCTTCTACCACAGTTCTAATTATTAACCCGATCTTCCGATTCATGCGATTAACAATAACATAAAAGCGCATAAAGTGGCCAGTTTCATGAACTTAATAAAACAAGTAGAAGAAATAATTCGGAATTAATACTTGCATAAAATCATAGAATTGGGTTCATAAATCCCACATAGGGTTCCAAATAAAATCCTAGAAATAAGAACATTAGCTACTCATGATTAAAGGAAAAACACAAATATAATAATTCATAAACGATAAATCTATGCTTAGAGTCTTCGAATTCTTCGTTATTGCTTTGTTGCTCTCCAAATTTGCGTAAAAAAAGATCTTCAATTGTGTGCTTGGTTTGGTCTTATATAGGGTGAAGAACTTGGGGAAGAAGGCAGTTTCCTTGTGCAATTAAAATCCCTTTACTGCGCAGCTTCGGAGTCTCGGACGGGGGTCCCACAATTTGAACTAAAACTCGTACGGGGTCCGAGCTTTAAATCTTCAGAATTTTGATTTTTTCACTTTTGGCCCATATTTTCTCCAAAATTGCAGTTTTGACCTCATACTTTTCCAATTCTTCAATTTGTACCTAAAATACAATAAATCAACTTTTTACGCACCAATTATCGTTAAAATACACCAAAAGCTCAAATAAAAAGGTACGATAAAGTGTAAAAATATACACTTAACAACTACTGATCAAGATTCCTAATTTGAATTTCATGTATTCTACTTGTTCCCTCTTTTTTTATTACTACATCCACTTGGTTATTTTTGTTTTTTCCCCTCGGATTCTTAACAAAGCATGTCATATCTTTCTAGTGTTGTTTTTTGGACTAATTTTTTTTTTATATAAATTTTTTGAGAGAATTAATTATATATTAATAATATAATTATGTATTAGTAATACGTAATTATGTATCGTGCAAACCAAGTTAAGCCAATCTAGAATGCGATTGAATTTTCTTTTATTATAAATATAATGAACTTATTATTATTATAGAGTTATACTTAGAGTAGGAGTTGTAGTTAGATTGTAACTAGACTTATATATTTTATTATAAATAGGGTACCTCTATGACGAAATAACCTACAAATCAAATTTATTGTAGACGATGG